AATTCTTCTTCAATTTAATGTCACAACCAGTCTTTAGCGAGACTTGTTCCAAAGCTAGATGACGCCAATATATGCCTTTACCCAGACTACAATTCCTCTTCCACATTTTTATCCTGTGTTTTCTGAAGAGCCTCTATTCATCCAGGGCAGCACTCCAGTCAGGAGAGTGTGCACAATCCTGCACAATCCTAGCGAATCACATTTTTGCAACTTTCTGCCCTGCTTTCCCCATGCTATATGCTTTTGTGTGCAGGTGTTAAGAGATGGGCCCCATGTCCTCCAGCATTTACAGAAGGGCAAGAGCCCACCTTGTCTACCTTGTCACCAAGACATCTGCTCCGCCCCTTAGCATCTTTCATCTTCAAGTTATGATAACCTTCCAGACCCAGTCTAATAGTCTCCTCAGCAGATCAGTAAACCTAGTTTGCAAAAATACTCCTGTTGCACCTCATTAGATTTATTTTGCACCCCTGCTCATTTCTCTGGCCATAGAAGCCCCATTTTCAACAGACACCATACAATCCACTTCTACTCAATCTTTCCTCCTCCCTGGACTGGGAAGACAAGATCTGAGCTCCATGCCCACCAGCCTCATGCCCAGACCTCTTCAGTCTCTCTTTTTATGCTCCATGTTACCTCCAGAGCAGTACTCTTTGTACCTACAAGGAAGAGGAGGAAGAGGTCCATGTTAGGAGGCTGGACAAACCTTGGCTGTGCATCTGCAACAATCTGCGATCCCAAGCAATAAAACTCCTGAGACATCAGGTGAGATTGGGAAATGCATGCCTCGATCATACACGAGAGGAGAAATCTTCAGTAACAATCTGTGACTGGCACCTACTGCTCCTGACTCCTGGTACAGCACTGTTGCCAGGGTATGGTGTCACCCATTATGGAATGGGGAAATGTAAAAGCACATGAGATATTCGGGATGGCAAAAATCTGTTCACTCAAGTCCTTTGCAGATTTTCACTAACACACAGCTCATGCTAAGGCCTGATGTTTGCTGGCAGAAACACCTTTAGCTCAAGGCAGGGCAACATCATTATGCAGTCATTATCAACTGCAGCCTGCTATCACCCGCACCCAAAATTCTTGCATACTGATTGTCAAGCCCCTTCAGAATCCATTAAATTAAAGACCAAATCCCCAAACTGACAGGTACAGCTATATTAGCTTATCCAAAAGGTTTGTGAAGTAGATCTAACAGCAGACAGATGGCTAAGACTTTTGTCCTTCCTGGTGTGATACAGGGGACGCTCACACCTCAATAGAAGAGGCAACAGGGTGGGGGGAACCACACTGCTAGACTATCATGCTCACTGCTAGATAATTATAACACCCACTCTGTCATTATTCTTTTTCTGAGAATTGAGTGACTCACCTTGTTTCTAATGTCAGAGTCCAGATTATGATTATTATATTGCATGCTGATTATTAAGAATTTGACCTGATCTCTAGAGTGGTCAGGTAATGGAAAATTAGAGGTAACTGCAATTTTAGGTAACAGGAAATCTATTCTAATTGCTAGAAATTATATGCAACGAAAAAATCCTTCTATAATAATAAAGCTCTACATATAACTAGAAATCTGCGACCAGCTCTCATTCAACCAAGGATCCTTAAAAGAATCTTTCTGTCCGCACAGTGTGAGAGAGTGCTGTCTGACACTATCACTCATATTCCCTTTTGTGTGAACACTAAATTCAGGCTTAGCTGACCTTGATTCATCTTGTTGATTSTCACCAATGCTCAGGATACAATATGCATTCTGAAATTGGAGAACTGCAGATGGAGCATATCTGCGACATTGTTGCCAGAAGCCACAAGCTTTCAGCCTTCTCTGTCTCACTAGTGGCTGTCCACTTGTCTACAGCAGTTGCTCCTTCCTTGAGTGGCTTGAGTTTTCCACAAAGACCCCATCAGTGTTGTCTTCATCTTCTGCCTCCATCTGGAATCTCAGGACTTTGACCACAGTACATCTCCCACAAGAGTGAYCACCACTTGCCTTGACCTCCAGGAAGACACAGGAGCTCTCTGAAGCATGCAATAGGGATGTAGGACTTCTTCCAATAGAACCAAGGACACCGATTCGCTAATGGCAGTCCTGCAGACTTCTACATCTTAATGGATGTCCATATGCTGGACAGTATGTCCTGCAGCTTTTTCAGACTACCACTGTATAGTCATCAAGCAGATCCACAYAGTTAGTCCTAGGTGGAATTTCTAGGTCTCTTTGCATCTCTGCTGCAACAACTGTTATGTCTCATCTACTGCACTCCGTAGGCTGCATTCTGGCTTCTTTGCTCCTGCCCTAACAGGTACATTTTTGGTGAGAATATAATCTTGCCCACATCATGATCTCCCCGAGCACCCATCACCCAGTTTTTAAAGTGCTTTTGCACTTGAAATTGTTCTGCATTTTTATGTCAAGGACCCTGATGAATATACACTGAAGTTCAACTGGTTTTATTTTAAGAGCAAGCAATGACCAAAGCATGTATCTCTCCCCCAGGGGATGTAGAAATGCATTCAGCATTGTTATGGCACACAGATTTTGGTACAAGAAAAGAACCTCAGTCTTGCTTTTATAACCTTTGTGTAGGAGTGACAACAAGTAGTAGGCCCTAGACTTCATTTACATGTTTGTTTACAGGCCATCCAAGCAACCTGCATTGCATATTCTACTGACAGATCACTACCAAGTGAGCCACTTGGCTTGATTAACCCCTATCATTTTCCTACTGCTTTTCTTTCCGTGTGACCAAGTTAATCATACACTGTCTGTTGAAAGATTAGAAAGCAGCCTAAAATTCACTCGGTTTAAATGACTGGCTGCTGAGCCTTCTCAACTACATCAACCACAAGCAGGGACTTTTGTAATTCCACAACATTCTGAAGGAGAAGAAAAAAATAAAACAGAAAAAGATAAAATATCTTCTATCAYTTCTATCACAACATGCACTAACATCTTCATCATTTTATGTGAAGGTAAACCTTCCAACTGTCCTGATGAACGAGTGGTTTCCCCAGGCTGCCATTTAGTACAGGCATACTGTCCCCACTGCCTGCCTCCCCAAAACACCCAGTACAGAACATAAGAAGCTAAGACACAAAAATTGTGACATGCTGCTGAAGTATTCTTATCCACAAGCTTCACTTAATCAGGCTTTCAACTGCTCCCCATATATGTTTAGAGTAACGTGTCAGCAGTCACATAAAATTTTCTGTCTGAAATCAGAACCAAATCTACGTGACCTACAGCAGAGTTTTACGGAGCAGGCCACACATTATATGGCATGAYTGACTTCTCCTAGAACATTCAAGAAAAGCTTAATGTAACTTTGCCTAACCATACAGAGAGCAGCACAACTTAAAATTTCCAGAGACTTCCCAAAGTAAACAAAGCATTACAAACCTTGTATAGTGATTTCATATCTGCACTCCTGGGTTGCAGGGGGAGGGTGGCCATGTATTCACTGATTTATTGCCCTTAATAGCCAAGTTCATGGGTAATTTTTACCATCCAGGAACCAAATTAGCATGAAAAAACAAACCATTAAATTTGGTTTTACATAAACACACATGCTCCTAGCCTTCCATCTCCCTCCTTTTTAAGCTCTGTCTCCTGCCCCTTACTTATTCAGGTAGAAGATACTCTGATCCCTCTTTCTTCACTTCTTCAACCCTCTCCAGAACTGCACATACTACAGGAGTACAGTCAAGCCTCACATTGTTGGTTCATATTCTCCCTCCATTCATCTCTCCCTGCTGCTGGCACATTCCCATACCTCTGGAGAACCTGTATTATACCACTCTGCATCTGAAAAGCTCTCTCATCTATGTCCCCCACACAGAAAGGGGCTTTTCCCTTAGTACCAGATGCTGATCATTTCAACATCTGCCTTCTGAAACACAAAAAATGGAATTAGGATGGAGGCCTAAAATAATTCAAAGTAAGAATGAATCCCTGAACAGACGGCAAAGTTGTTCAAATTTACTATGTGAAGAACAAAATGCAAGGCTCAGTATTTTAAGTCTGTATCAAAATTACCACTTGTTTTAAATGGCAAGAGTATTGTCATTTAGTTGTTTATTATTGTTTTCATAATGGTTTTAATTTAYAAGAGTAATAAACCAAATCCTGTAAACATCTGACTTATTTTACAACTCAAAATAGATCTTTCCACTTGATATTTACACTGATCACTTGTGGAGAACCAGTTTCTGAAAAGACTGTATTTTCATCCACAGCTTTACAGCCAAAAGTCAGGAGTATCACAAATTTTAAGCAGATGAACTAAACTGACAGAAGCATTCAAGCTGATGATAAATACTCCAGTATCTCCTAAACTACAGGATAAAAGCTTGCCTAGCCTGGGCATTTAAAAGAGCAACCAAACTTCTATACAGTATGCTTTATAGCTTCCTTTTCACATACAAAGCTTAATATCAAYATTTTAAAATTAAAAAGAAAGAAAATTGTAGCTCTGACAGACTTCGAACAAATAAGAAACACAGACCAGACCACATGATAATTATTCCCAGATTTCCAGTGTTCTGGGATTCACATGGTGTAAGTAAATGTATTTTAAGATGCTTTTGCTTAAGTCTTTTTGGTATTTCACAAATCACCTTAGAACTGTTTATTGAGGCTCTAAATTTRATGTCCTACTCTTTTGATTTGGACACACCACTCTACATGAACATTTCTTTGTTCTAAGCACACAGAAGAGCTCAGGATTGTCCTGACAGTGCTGCTAGGTGGTACTACAACTAGAGGGAGCAATAACAGTGCCACATAAGAATACACAGTAGTGCAATAATGCAATACTCAGCTGCTGCCAAGTCTTTGCTCCCATTCTGCTTAGCAGTTGCTGCGTTTAAGCTCACAGAGAAATTGAACTGGTGGATTGTAAAGGGACGCAGGTGAACATGACAACACTGCAGCAGAACAAAGTACAAGGAGAAACAATCTGTCCATTAAATCAGTAACATACCGTTACTCCAGTTAAACCTGGGCCTTTTCCTTCAATTAGTTTATACATTTCTTGAAGTGCTTCCTCGTCACTTTTGCCTTTAAATCGCTTCTTGGAGAGTTCTTGAAGAGCTTCCTTAAACTGCTCAAAAGTAATAGTTCTTACAGACTTTCCCCTGTTGAAACACACAGCAATTGAAAGAAATTACAAGAGAGCACAAAAAGCATTCCAAGAATAGCAGAATGGTTTCAGTTTACTGCAGTGAACAACAGAAAACTGCAACAGAACTGGAAGACCCATGCAGACCATTTATGATGTCAACTAAAACATACTCCAGGAATATCACTCTATTTTTATATGTATATCAGTAGGATAGCAATTTATAAACTTCCCTTCGTGAATTTTCAGAAGAGGAAATAAAGGGATCTGGTCTGCTGTCAAAATGTCTGCAGCTCATCAAATTAAACACAGCCTCATTTGGTTGATCACTTGTAAAGCCTGCATGTGTAAGGCAAAAACTGAAGCATCTAAGGTGAGTCTTTTTATTAACTATTTTTAATGCCTCTTTGAATAACTGGCTATCAAATTATAGGTCACTATTCATGTATTCACAARTAAATTAAGAATAATGCTATTGTGTAAAGCAAACTATTGAAAAGCATTTAAAAAAGCTGAAATTCCTCCTCAGTTGAAGACTGAAAAAATTTTAAATTACACATTTCAATTCAATACTTGTTTTCTGTCATAGGCCATCATCTTCAAAAAACATTCACAGGCCCACAGAAAACACAATATAGTAGTCTGGTAAACTCATAAACCTCCCAARAATTCAGAGCTGGTTACTCTCTGTAGTTTTCACTAATAGGAAGACTGTATTTTCACATTAGTAAATTACTTACATTTACTTTTAATGGAGATAATTTTGGTAAACAAGTGTGTGGTGAAAAATCTGAAGAGTGGGAAATCCACACTATACAAACATCAGTTTATGCTGTCATTTCCGCAGATATTTTTGGTCCATCAGACCAAAGGTTTCAATTGACAGAACTTCTACAAAGAAATTCAGCATTCACCACAGAGATRTGTTTACACAAAAGAAGGTTAATGCATGTCTGTTTTCTAGCATTTTAAAATATTCACTTTAGACTGGAGAAAACATTGTGGAGCATACGGTTTCATTCAATCCCTTAGTATTAAACTATTTTTAGTTCTCCTCATTTTAAAATTCAGGTGTGAAGCCATAGCATTAGTGAGTTTACTCACCATTAAAAAAAACCCAACTATTTTTAGATTTTATTAATTGCAGCAGACATAAACCACACTTTTCCTGTATTATTACAGATTCTCTGATCTTTTGAACAAGAATTTACACCCCAAAATGTAGCCATATATTTTGACCTAAAATTTAACAGATCAAATAGAAACATTTTCAAAAAGAGTTTTGATACTTATGCTGATATAATCCTAAGTAGTACAATCTTCAAAAGCAGAAATGTTACAACATTACAAAACTCTCAAAGTTAAAGTAATACTTGAGAGGCAATGTTGCTAGGAAACATGCTACTAAAAAAWTTTTTTTTGCTGCTTGAGTATTTCTTTTCATGCCCATTTAGAAAACATTTCAAGGGAATAAATCAGGGGGAAAAAAATAACCAGCCACCACCACACAACCCAAACCAGTCCTTTCAACAGAGACAGCTGTTTATATAGAAATAAACAATAGATTCTAGGATAGAGAAAGCCTGYGCTGGCAACAGAAATCTTGGGCTAGAAAATCAGTACATAGAAATCTAATTTTAATTCMAGTGTCAAAAAGACCATTGTGAAGAGCAATTCAGCTGTCATGGACTTTATCACTGATTTTCTCTTAGACATCTTCAGTGCTCAAATCCCTCTCAGGTGGAGGATGCCTCCACTAATGAAAGGGCAAGTGAGATTTCTGATTTAGCAACCAACAGTCAGAAAATGACTCCTACTTCAATTAACTAAACAAAAAAAAGAAATTTTATCACAGGCTTTTTAAAAAGGAGAAATTGGTTATTCACAACAAAATTTGATACTAAGGGTACCCTTTACATAACTACGGATTAGTAGCATTCTTTATTTTCAATGCAGCCCAACATACATAGCAAACCTCAAAAATCCCTGCAAAATAAAGTTYGTGCTTTTTGACCAAACACTGTTGTTTGAAACTACTTGTCTGCTTTAGGTAAAGCATGTGCTAGAGTATCTCATGGAAATAGCTAGTAAAAGAGCATCATGACAGTAGAAATGAAGATATAATCCAGCATTTCATTAATCAGAAAGACACATGGAATACACTGCAATTAACTACCTGGAATTTCTCCAGGATTCTCATTAATAGGATTAACATCCCTCTTCTGATGAAACATTTCCAAGAACWTTTAAGTAGCTCAAGAGGTCAAGCCTTCCTTTTGTTTTGCCTCTTGATTTAGAAAAAGAAAGCACTGGCAATCACAGCAAAGCTTCGGCATAACAACACCCTCAGGCATTTGTTCTCTATTAGACTCACAGCCAAGTCTACCATCCAGGCCTTTCAAATGCAGTTTTCTGTAGCACAGTAGTGATGCCTACAGTTTATGTCAAAGTGACAAAGTGCTTATGAGGCTTATGATTGTTAACTTTCTATAAAGTTTTTTATGTATCATCAATATACAATGTAATATAATATAATTCAATATATTATCAATAATAGCCTTTTCATATATTGCTGTAAGTTTTTATATAGGGTATTAGCAACATACAGTGTATCAGCTGGATGTAATCCAGCCAGCTGGATTAGTACGTAGACATGTAAAATCACCAAGAGGCAGAAATCAKAAAAAATTCTKAAGAAAGTAGATAGGTAGATGCTATAACAAGAAACAGTAGARAGCACTAAAGAGAACTTGGYAGAGGCAAAATGATGGAAAATAAAGACTTGAARGACTAGAAAAAAAMCACGAACATCACAACTCTGCATGCCCTGAAGACAAAGGTGAAAAGTTCACCGTGATGAAGAGAATGGTATCTCATTAGAGGAAGACTCCCAYGACCACCRAACTGAGGATGACACATGCGCACTTGTAAAACTGTGATATCATGTATTTCCAGGCCCATATATAGTGGTGGGMGTATGGGGGCCRTAGTGACGACAGTAATGTTACTCCATGGTTACTGTATAAATACCTGCCAATTCTAAGCRAAGGCAGGTGRGTYAGGAGGAGAGATCCCCCTCACCTCCAGYGCTACAWCAGYMCTGTAATAAACAAATACCTGCTCTATAGACACYGGTCTATGGGGTTTCATTTCTAGGCCTTTTTTGGGCATCAGTTTTGGCGACTAAGCGCGGCAGGACCTCTCTGCCTGGCTGCAAGATCCGTTGGAGCTGGGGACTCTCTTGGCGTGCCCCGASATTTTCTCGGAGGGACTCCACGYTTCACCGGCTCTCTGTGGGGGTAGACAAGGACCGACCGACTGCATAAATTTAAAGTATTTGCTTTTTGGTTTGTTTGGGAAGTTCCCRTAAGACGTATGTGATGACATATGCYGGGCGTTGTATCATAGGTAACATTCCGGAAGTCGATACAAGGAGTTTTGGAGACTCCTAGGAAGGGTGTTYGAAGCCCCTAAAAAGTCAGATGACTTTTTGGTTTGGACTTAGCTTTTTGGGTTTGAGTGTTTTATGTGTTGTTTTGTGTGTTTTATATAAAGTCAGTGTTTCTTTCTGCATGCTAACAGTTCTTACTGGGCTGCTGTGTGTTTGCTAGAGGTTTTTGCTGTCTGTGTCTGTGTCTTTCTAGCCATTACAGTGTGTGTATCTGCCAAGAACTGGTACAGCTTAGCTAGCACTTTTAATTTCTGTCCTGTTAGGCTCCGCTACTCTATCTCACTCCTTTTACTTATCACACTCCTATGTCTTGTTTCGTTTTTGGAGTACTGTGCAGTTACAGTATCCTCTGGTTATGTGATTCTTGGGTGCATATGAAGTGTCTGAAGTGTAAAAGAAAATATTGGAGTCAGTTGCACCCCTGATATCTGTTGTGCGTTAAGTGTTGTTTGCAGGGATGATGACAGTAAACTTTGTGGTTTTTTTCCCATGAAGTGTGATCACCAGCACTTAAGGTTACATTAAAGTAGGTAGTTCTAGTGGTAAAGAAATGGTTAAAAAGAGCCCTTTAGAGTGTACTCTAGCCCACTGGAAGTGAAAAATAAAGAAGTGTTGTTTTGCATGAGGTATAGGACAGAAGTGTTTGAAGTTAGCAAACAGATATGAGGAAGACACTGTTGTGGATATTCAGGATTTATAGCCAAAGTATGTGAGGCCAGCGGCACACTCTCCCCTGACTGCTCCCCRCTTCCAGCTCTAGCAGTAGTAAGGATGAAATAAATAATCCTGGGGAGGGAACGAGTTCAAGGACCCTAATAGCAGCATAGAGAAGAAGTAAAACAAAGGAAGTTTTGCCTTTAGTAGCCCCTCTGAGAGAAGTGATAGTTCTTTTCCACTAATGATCTGAATAGCTGGAGAGAAGAAATTAAAAATTATAGAAAGGACTCCRATAAGTCACTAGAAGATTTGAGTTGGTTGTGAGAAATCAGGACSCTGATTGGGTTGATAATGATTTGATGTTGTCAGAGCTTACAGAAACAGAAAAGGAATTGGCAATAAGCAGAGGTGGAGGCAGAAATAAAAGAGCAAACTAGGCTTAGAAAATGCTATCCTAAAAAGCACTAAATTGGTCAATGATATTTCAGCTTAAGCAGGGAAGGCAGTCCAGGAAGGAGTCTCCCACTGCTTTTGTGGACAGACTCCCTGCAGCCCTGCATAAGTATATGACCCTAGACCCCTCATCAGACATGGGCAAACAGCAATTAGTTTCTCTAATGTTAGGGCAATCCTGCCCAGACATTAGATTTGAGCTTCAGAAAATAAGAGAGCCTGCAAGCRGGGATCTGGAAGCGTTCATGGGGGAGGCTTGGCGAGYGTACAGTAACAGAAATAAGCATTAATGGAGAAATCTGACTACAGCTATAGTAGCTGTCTTGGATCAGCATCAGAATGGTGGGGGTGGTTGAGGCAGAGGTGGAAACAACAGAGGGGGCTCAAATCAACCACAATCCAAATTGGGACCAAATCAGTGTGCATTCTGTAAAGAGGAGGGACACTAGAAGAAC